CCTTTCCTTGGTCCCGTCTTCTGACATCCCACCTTGTTCCTCCCCCTGCAATCCGGTTTCCGGATGGCTCACGTGCCCTGCCTCCTGTTTCTCTTCGGCCTCTGCTTCTCTCGGGGCACGCAGCTCTCTGCCAGCGGGTTTCCAAGCCTGCCCACGCTCTTCCGCTACTCCACGTCTACCCACCTGTGGCAGCTGATTGGTCCCTGGGCAGCATGGCTCTGTCTTCCTGCTCCGGCCACCTCTGTGCCTCAGCCCCGGCGCTGCTTCGTTTTCCATCCTGCTGCGAGCCTGCCATTCTCTTTGCTCTGCCCCGGCGCTGGCATCAGCAGCGTGGGCTCCGGTGGTGCCAGGGGACACCCGAGACTTGTAATACCGGTATGCCAACATCAGCAAGAGCAAGGCGGCAGCGGAGAGGGCCAGCCGTCCAGCCAGAGGCATTTCTGACGGCTGGACCCCGCTTCCTTCGGCGCGATGGGTCATTTTCCCATACCTCGCTGGCGCTCAGGAATGCGAAAAATCTAGGATTAATGATTGCCAAGCAGCGACCGGCCGGCTCTGAGTGGATCAGGGCTGCCTCCCTCAATTCTCTGGAAGGCGACTTTAACCTGTCGACAGGTAAAAGAGATCATTGTTCACCTGGTTGCTCAGAGCGCCAGGTGTCTGCTTACTATAGGTTTGCATATTTGAACAAGGTGGGCTGGGCTGGGCTGGATGTAGGCAAAGGAAACCGGAAAGTGAAAACGTCCACAGAGAAGAGAGAAAACTCTTCTGTAAAGAGTTGTTATTTTAAGCTTTTGTAAACAAGAGAGGTTTCTGAAGGTGACAAGGAAGTGGATAGGTTTAAAAAGAGGGGGCCTGAAAGCTAGGTGGACACCTTACGCCCCATGAGGGATTCCTCTCTTCCCCTCCGAATTTCTTTTACAGATTCTGCTATAAACAACCCTGAATTTCTTTTATAGATTCTGCTATAAACAACACACTCCTAGGCATGTTTTCAGGAACCCGTGATCGGCAGGGCTCCCCGTGCAGAGGATCACCGTCTACGTGTTGAAGAATGTAAAGATGGTGCCAAAAAGATCCCCCCAAAGACTCTCCCCAAAAAGATTCCCCATTTTACTGCTGTTTGTCGTTCAGCCTGGCCTTGAAATCTGCTGTTTCCTTCCTTCTTTACACGTTGAGCATGTCCTTGCTCCAAGCAGCTCACGGTGGCAAAGATATTTCGCCCCCCCGTTTTATCTGTTCGGTGGACTGGACCGAGAAGGCAGATCAGCACGTCACGCTAAGCCTGCAGGTCCCCCGAAACAAGGGTTCCTATTGTAAACCACAACAGCTGATTTTACAAAGCAGAGGAAGAAGAAAGCAGCTAGAAATTTAGCTTAGAATGACGTGTGGGGCAGCCCCAAGACCCTTGAGGGCTCAAAGAGGATTTGAAGCTAGGTCTCCAAACCCCTTGTTGAGCCTTGGGCATTCCAGGTCAGATCCACCGTGAAGACAAGCCCGTAAATCCTGCCTGGAACCTCACCAGAGCTAAATCCCAGGTTGGGAACCTGCGGCCCACGGGCCCAGTGTGCCCCTCTGTCTCCATCCCTGGGTTTCTCCCAGGCCGTAATGCCTTGGGCACCTTCACTCTGGGTCTAAGCTTCTCATTTAAAAAGCTTTAAGGGAACTTTGCACATGTTTTGAAGGAAGGAAAGACCCTGACACCTTCCACCCCTGCAAACTAAGGGCCAAAGCGCTATATTAGCTCCACCCACTTTGGGCGCAGGCCACACCCAACGCTCGAACGCAGCATCTGGCAGAGTCCAACCACTGCAATTCAGATGACGTTGGTGTGGAGAGGACACAAGTCCACACCGCCGCTTTTCTCGCATCACTTTCCTGGGCTCTGGTTTCACTTTCCTGCTCCTAGGCAGGGAAATTCACCAGCAAGGGATTTGAAAGTCAGCCGGTTTTAACTGTACTCCTATCCCGTTAAGAGCTGGTTAGAGGTGAAAGTCCCGAACCTGGAATTTGGCACTCGCTTTGCACGGCATGTATACACGCCAGCCTTGGAAAAACAGCTGAATTGCACAGCAAAAACAAACTGCCTTGACGCACGCTGGGTAATTTGCACCCACTTTTCTCAAGCGGGTGCCCTCCAGCCACGCGGGCGACAGAGCCAGCGGGATGGAGGGCACCTGATTTTTTATTTTTAAATTTTGTTTATGGTTCTGGGTTGTGCAATTTTTCTTGGGTCCCTCGGTATTAAAGTGTGAGTGACAAGAGACCTTTAACCGATTTATGCAAGCAGGAGACTGAGGCCAACCACGCACTGCCCAATCCCTTTCCACAAAATTGGATATTTTTAAAAGAATGGTATGCGCAGTTTTATTTTTTTTTTAAAAGCCTCTCCAATGCATTGCTCTTACAATGCAGAATTCCTGCAGCTAGGGAGACGCTGGGATCACCTGTGGGTTTTTAAGCATTTTACTCTTTTTATGGATGTTGTAAGCTGCCCAGTGTCTTCTGGAGTGGGCAGCCACATTTAATCGAATAAATTAAATGCATTTAATCTGGAGGATCAGGAACACCCCGAAGGCGTCTATTCTTCAACCCTCACACTTACACACCCACCTTGGGCAAGAATTACCCACTTCCAGTGAAGGAGAACATCAGGGCTGCAAATAAAATCCCCCTCCTTGGTTCCTCCTGCTCAGGAGAGGCCAGTTGCCCAAATTAAAATTCTGCTTAAGAGATCCATAAATAAATGGAGGTAGAGAGCCAAGGGAGAGGAAGGGGATTCCCTGCAAAATGAAGGGAATCTTCAGCCCATGAATGAAATCTTAAATCTTAAAAGGCAGTTGGACCCCAGCATTGGGTGGCACAAGGAAATCAAGATCTCAGATCGCGAAAGAGCAGCAGGAAGAGTTAGGTCGTTCCTGGGTGGAAGGAACCACGGGCACGTAAGTAAAATGCAGAGAATAAGCAGACCCCTCCTTTCAACGCGATTCATTTCTCCTTGTTAGTGGCAAAGGGGTTTCTTCTATCCTGGCCGGATTCCTGGCGGATTCAGCTAACCACCAATGCAGAGGGCTTGGGAACAAGCTTGGATAGAGCTCCCGAGATCAAGGATTGGAAGGAAGGGAGAAGCAGCCCTGTTCGCCTAGCACGAAGACCCCATCTGGGCTTGCAACGCAGATTTGGGGAGACGCGGATGGACGGCGCCGCTTCACCCGTCTCCCTGAATACAGTGGCCTGCTCAGAAGTTGCTTTTTGGGCTATTTTTACATTTATTTGACTAAATGCTGCGCTGCGACAGGCCAGATCAGCTTCCAGCCCCAGTCCAGGGAAAATCAGGGTGGTTTGCAAGCAAAATGCCAGGGGACTAACTTAGGCGTTTGGAACACAGAAGTCTATCGTCTTATGGGTGGGAAAGGCAGCTAGAAATATATAGAGGCCCTGAATGTTCTTTCTCTTTTCTGCCCTGATGCCAGGACGTAATCTACACAGAAACACAGCTTGGTGCCTGCTCCAGATTTTTATGATGCCCCCTTCATCTCCTCCTTCTGTTTGTCCTTGCCCGGCCAACTTGCTCTCGTTCTCAGAACAGCTCCGTGGAAGAGCACAAGAGCCGTGGCACGCTTCTCCCTGCGGCTGTGTTTGCACCTCCAGATCAGGGAAGGAGCTAGCAGATGGCTTTACATAGCACGTTAAGTCTGGTTAGTTTTAATCTCGGTTAGTTGGGGCGCTCAGCACGCAGGGTAAACCCCCAGATTGTTAGTCTATGGTTCTGTGCCCTTTGCAAAAGCAGAAAATGGGCTAATCAGGTTGGATCACCATCTGTTTCTGTCAATTGCTATGGTTTGGTGCTGTTTTGAAAATGATGCTTTTTTACATATTTGTCTTCAGTTTACGCTTCTGATTCTGAATTCTTTATTAGAAATTTGGGTGCCCTGGGAAAATGAAACTTTCCAGGCTTCTACTTGGGCGGTGAATTGGTGTGCATTATGAAGCAGGCTAAAAAAAGATTTTAGTGTAAACACTGCTCAGCCTGCAATGCCGCAGAGCTGTCTCAAACTCGCCGCTTCATCTGATGCATGCAATAATTACAAATATAGTTGATGCAATTACTTTTTTTTACATTAGTTCAAATCAGGCCTTGAGTGATGTCTGTCTTTCAGTCCAATCGTCTTGCGCAAGGAGAAACCCTGCCGAGAAAAATGGGCTACGGCAATTTTTTAATGTAAAAAGAGAAAAGATTTCAGAAGAGAGGGAGAGGCTGTCAAGACAAGAAAAAGTACTTTTGGCCTGTCACTCTGAATTTTCACCCTGAGGTTTCTTTCGCTCACTTGGGAAGCTAAACAACGAGGTTAAAATGAAGAGTGGTATAAAACACGGTCTTAATTTTGTAAGTTGCCACGTGGAGGTGGGGGCGAAATATGCCTTCATGTTCGGGGAGAAGAATTTACTGATGTTGCTCCAGGAGAGAGCTGCCAAAAATGCTTTATTTTAAGAATCCATTTGGGGGGAAGGGGCACGAAACAGCACCCACTTTTTTTAAAGAACACTGGATTTCAAACCTGCACCTCTCCAAAAACCGGGCTTTCAACCTGCACCTCTCCAAAAACCAGGTTTTTAGCTCAAAGAGGAGACGGATACTCCCTCATGAGAACTGATGGCAAACAAGGATGGTCAGAATGCAAACTTGGAGTTTTTTTCCACCCGTGTGGAGGGCACTCAGCAGACCCCTTGGCGGGCACTAGGTAGGCCTCCTGTTAGCCGTTGTGGAAGCAAAACAGCCCTGAGATGCACAATTGGGTGGTGGGAAGCACCGAACAGTTTGCTGTAATTTTATCCCCGGCGTAGCAAGTAGACGAACGGGTCCTGCAAACCTCAAGTCAATATGTACCTTCTGTCTCCGGTTTCCTCCTAGGATCTTGGTTGCACAGCGCTGAAGGCAGGTGGATTTATTCTAATTTGGCCCAGGTAAGGGTCACCGGATGCAGCCGAGGAGTTTCTGCCCAGGTGGGGCGGTCCGTGAGGGGCAAATCAATCAGCCCAGCCATGCCTCTGCCAGGCCCAGTTTGGAGGGACGAAAGGAACTTGGGGAGCCCTGCCAGACGTCCCCAGCAAAACTCTTCCTCCGTGGCAGTTCAGCTCCCGCAGGAATGTGCCCCCCTTGGCAATCTCCTAGCTTAAGCCAACTCGTCGGGCTTGCACGGGCACTCCGGAGGGTAACAGCAGACAGTCGATTGAAGCAGAAGACATATCTAGCCAAATTTTAGCCATTCATACAGCGAATGGCCTTCTGGGGGGTTGTGGTGGTGTGGTTTTTGGACTAGAGTGGGGCGAATGGAAAATAAAAGCGGCTTTTTTCTTCTCCGCAGGCAGGTATTCTTAGCATTATAGCGGACTCTATTTCACTGGGGCCGCCCTCTGCCACGACTCTGCAAGGGGAAAGGGATCGCTCTTATACCCATCTTACAGATAGGAAGACTGAGACTGCAGGGACAAGTTCTGCACCCAAGGCAGAGAGTCACTTCTATAGGCAGGGAAAGGCCCAGAGGTTTCTCCTCACCCTCGCCCTGGAGAAAACCTTGCGGCCCCTAAGAGTTGATACCAACTCGAAGGCACGTCAACAAATCTTTTAATCCAGAAAGACAAAATGGCAGGCTCAACGTTTTCTGGATTCACTAGATTTCATTATCTAGACCTTGCGTCAGGTCACAGATCTAATAATACCCTACATGCCATTGCATGTCCCAGTTCACACGCCGCTGCATGTCACCTTTTCACAAGCACCCTCAGATTTAGATACGCTCTCCAACCGTATGACAACGCCTGTTCTTTGGTTTTTCTGGAGCCTGCCTCTGCCCATGGAAGCTCGCTTTCGCTGGCAGAACTCCAACAGGGGCATGGAAAATCCTGCCCTCTGCCAATCTCGAGAGACTCCTCGCGCCCGGGCGAGTAACCGGAGCTGATGTCTCCATCAGAGAGACCTGAACTCTGCTCCCACCCTGGCAGCTTAAATTCCCAAGGGTGCCTTTTTCCCTCCCTTTTTGCTGGCCAGGGCCTCTGGGCACTCCTTCGCCCCCCTTCCAGCACGCCAGTCTCCGGGCCTTAAACCTGGAGAAAGCCGAATGCAGAACAAGCCAAAAGGAGCACCCATGGAGGAAAAAAAAGAGGAAAAATTTTAAAAGGGGAACAGCATCCGCTGTGAGATTTGAAGAGAATCGATATCAAAGGACCGACAACTGCTTTTTAGGCACATCTCTCGTGGAAGGGTGGAGAATGTGTTTTGTCTTTGAAGGGTGCAGAAAAGAATTAATTTCGCTCTCCCCAACTGCTGTTTCACTAAGTTAAGGAGAAATGGGGCAGACGTGGCGGTTCTTAGAAGTTTGTGGGGCAGAATAAAAGAGCAGAGCTTTGAAGGGTGGGAGAGAAGAATGCGTTCATTAGCAATTAATTTCCAAACCAAGACGTTCGGGGTTTTAGTTTCCAGCTCCTCTTCCAACAGCTGAGTACACACTCTGCACATGGCCAGAAGCACCTGCAGAACCCCTCAGTTTCACCTCTTTGGGGCACGTCCTGCTCTTCCTACAGCGGTCTGGGGAGTATGAGGTTAAAACGGATCTGCCAGGAGCGCTGGTAAAAAGCAGAAAAACTCCTTTAAGGAGAAAACATCCCCGCTAAAATTAGAAATTAATATTCCCCAGCCGTTCTCCAGGAATTTAGATCTTTTGCAGGGGTATTTGTCAGGCAGTGATTCTCCGTATTTGAAAGGGGACTTCTAATGGTATTTGTGGGGCCTGTCCATACTGATGTGCCCCACTGAATTCAATGGGGCTCCCCATTCACGCTCGACCTGGAATGGTAGTTAGCATTTCATGGTGGTAATTAAAATAGCCTGGGTTAATCTGCCCTGAACCTGGTTTTGTCCATGGAATTTATCATGAATATTGCGAATGCATTTAGCTTTGTGGCACCCCAAACTTTTCCTGCATGGTACCCCCACCTCCTCACTGGCATGCAATGGGGTTGAGTTTGGGGTATAAACTTCCACACGGAAGGCCTTCTGCTTCCAAGAAGAGAGAACGATGCCAACATCTCTTCTCACTGCTGTGAGAGGGTTGCCCATGCAAATGGCTGCATTGAGATTCATGATGCCATCTGGAAGTCAAAGGGGAGACCTGCCCTTTCGAAAAATAGTTGGCTTCACTGGGTTGTCCTGGAAAGGCAGTGGGGCTGGAGGGGTCCCGCCTGTCCAAATGTCACGCTCCGATGCGCTCTGGGATCCTGCTAATTGCCTAGACTTTGCTGGAGAAGTTGGGGGTCTTTTCTTTGGAGCAAAACATCTCCAGAGCATTTTCCTGCGGCCTTTATGATGAAGATTATTTTTAAAAGAACGGGCTTGGAAGCTACGGATTTTGGAAAAACAATGAATTATGCATCGGATTGTGAGTGACCCTGTGAACCTTGGCTGATTCCTCCTTGCTATAATTATGTGAAGGAGACAGGAGAAAAGGACCTTGCCTGTAAAAGTGTTCCTTGAAATCACCACCAGCCTTTTCCTCTTTGCACTGGGCATAGTTAAATGATGATACTCATTGCCAAAGGGCACCACAGTGGCCACCAGTAAGTATGTGGGCACCACTAGGCTCACGTCTCAGAAATACCTGATTGGCCATGTGGGGCCTCAGAAGATCAGTGAGAAGACTTCTGGAGTCTCTGTGGTCGTGTCCCCATGGACACAAGATCTGAGGGCCAACAACAGGAGAGAGTTTATTGCCTTCAGAACTTCTCTGTATTCCTCCAAGGACTTTGGGTCACTTCGGAGATGGAATGCTAGACTTCAGAGGTCACTAGTCTGATGGCAAAGATGAACTTAGGTTCTTTACAGCTCTTCATGGAGACCATTGTTGGCAAACAGATGGCCCAAGAGCAGGAGATCCATCACTTGCAGTCCCCCGTGGTTTGTTCATTCCAGGTCTTCAGGTTTGCATCAACTTTGCCAAAGACCACGAGAAGGACAGCGTTTCCCCCAAAGACTTAGCAGCAACCCCTTCAGATCATTTTTGGGAACTGTGACTTGGTCTCTGCCAAGTCCCATGTTTTTTGTCCTTGGGAGAAGAGAAGGCGCACCCATTGGCAAAACAAGGAGACATGACTGGAGCAAATCCTAAGGAGAGACCTTCACCTAACCTCATCCCCCTCAAAGTCTCAGATCAACTCCCATGGAACTGCAGTGAGTTGAAAGGAAAACGGGCCAATTCGGAAGGATGCTGGAAGGGGAGGAGGAAGTACGTAAAACAGAACACGACAATATCA